ATATAATAATTAAGTATTTTGTTATAAGTAATGATTATCTTAATTATATTTTATATTTTTTATATTTAAAATGAGATGTTTATCTCATATTTGATTATGTTTATCAATAGTTAGTTACACGAATTCAAAAATAAAACTTTAATAAGTTATAATTACGCACAATTTACTTGTGATCTTGAATTTTAAGTAATATGTATCAATAAACAGTATTTTATGTATAAAAAACGGTTTTTAAGAGTTTTTGTCAAATACTTTATAATATAGTATAGATAATAATTAGACAATGCCCTTTATCAATTGTGACTCGATATTTAGTTCTTGTTTGTTTTAAAAACTCCTATGAGTTTCTATGTCTAATTGGCTAAAATGTAGAGTTATTCATATTGTTTGTTTTTCTAATTTTTCGGATGCACTTATATCTTATTGTCACCTTATCTAGTAAGAGGTACACTAACCTCTCATTCGCCTCTTATTGTTATCCAAACCCTCAACAACGACGTTTCTCAATCGATTAACCTTGATCGATCATTTATCTCAATCGATTCTTACCAATTTGATTCTCACCTCTCTCGATTGATGTATTTTAATGGGGTGGGGATGGAACATGTTTGCTCCACTACGTTCCTATTTATTCCATAAAAAAATAATGTCAACACATGAAAATTTGATCTAAATTCTAGTATGTCATATCCAGTATATCAAACACACATTTAATTCCTCTATTTATCTTCAAAAAGAAACTGTTTGACGAACATTTTCTTCCTTTATTAGTTCATCATCTTTCCACAACCATTTTGTAATTTCAGTTTTTTTAATAACAATAACCACAAGGGTGGTGCCTGATTGGTTTTAGCTTGACTCTAAAGGTCAAAAGTACCAGGAGGTCTCAGGTTCAAATCCAACGAGGAATAAAAATCTCCTTTGTGGCCACGAAGGTTCAAAGACCTTCCAGCCTAATGGTAAAGGCTTGGGCATGGCATAGTCATGAACCCAAGTTCGAGCCCTGGGAGGGAAGTGTTGGCGACATTTAAGTGGTGCCATGCTTTGCCTCCAAATTTGCCGGGGATTAGTCGGGCTTTGGCCCGGACACCCTTACAAAAAAAAAAAAAAAAAGGTTCAAATGTGGTGACTCCGGGCTATCTACAAAGCAGATGGTCGCCCTATGATTAGTTAGCTCGCATAGCGGGTTGTATATCCAGGTTAATAAAAAAAACATTTTTATCAACATTGATATAAAAATGTCCGTATACTTGAGACCCGTATGTAAATAAATATTATGGATAATTTAATTTGGTTTAATCTATACTATATTATAAAGCATTTGATAAAAACTCTTAAAAATAATATTTTATGCATAAAATATTGTCTATTGATGCATATTACTTAAAATTCAGGATTACAAATAGTGCATTAGTACATCTTATTAAAACTCCATTTTTGAATTCGTATAACTAACTGCAGACAAACGTAATTAAATACACGATAAACATCATTTTAAATATAAAAAATCTAAAATATAGTTAAGATAATCATTGAATTATAATAGAATATTTAATTATTATCTTAAAAAAATATTTAGTTCATTTTTAAAATTCAATTAAATCATAATAAAAAATTAAATTAAAGAAATTACACAAAAAAAGAATTTTTAAATAGTTATTTTGATACTAATATCGTTTATTTTTATCAAAATTTTACAATATATTCAAATTTACATTTTATTAAAAAATAAAAACATTTTTTTTCCTCAAAACCACATAAAATTGCATTATAATACTGATACACCCAAAATATAAAACGAAACATTAAAATCAAAATGTATCTAACTGCATTGCACGAATACCCTTCTAGTTTATAAAGGAACATTCAAATACAACTATCTAAGATTATACAACCCATGCAATTCATCTATATATATACATAGGGGCTGGTTCAAATAGAAAACCAACCATATGGTACAAACTATGTGAACCGATCTTGATCGTTCATTTTATCATCAAACGGTTATTATTAAATGAGATTAAATAAACAATAATTTAATTAATGTATTAATTGATATGTGTATGAACAATTGTTCAAAGGGTAAATTGGTCAAACGGTCATTATTAAATGAGTATTAAAAAATAATCAATTAATCATTAAATTAATTGGGCTGCTTATGAAGAATTGTTCACAGGGTATTTTGGTAATAAATCATCACGCATCGTGAACCCGATATTCTCCAGCCGATTTGTAACCTACGATCGATTATGAACATATTCACAACTCATGTTCACATGTCGGTCATATGCTCGTGTGAACAACATATGTGTCTTGCAATGTAAACACTATGTTCATATGTTCATATATGTTCACATGTCGGCCCTATGTTCGTGTGAACATCATCTGTGTCTTACAATGTAAACTCTATGTTCATATGGTGTGATGTTTTTCAATGTTATACCGTATGACATCGTCACGGGTTCGTGTGAACAACGATTGTGTCTTTCAATGAAAACATGTTGTTCATATGGTGAACATATATGAACATAGACTGCAAGAGATGCACATATATGAACATTTTCAAAATCAAGGATCGTTGTGCATGTGTGCAGATATGAACATAGACTGCAAGCGTTTATCGTTTTCATTATTTTGATATTCTTTTACAATAGGATTCTCCATGTATCTTGGACGAAACGAAAATCTTGTACACTTAGACAACCAATTTCAATATATGTAGAACATAACTTGAAAAGAAGAACATGAACATGAAATAATAAAGAAATCAGAAAAATCTCATGATCAATTAGAGGTATCTTTTAAGATTTGTAACTCCTAATTAATTATTAGGGGGTTACAAAAAGGTTAAATTACAAAAGTACCATTATTATTAATTTATAATTTAGATTTGAACATAAAGTGAAGAAAGAATGTGATTGGTTAAGGTTGGTTAGCTTAGTTTGCACCATATGGTTGGTTTCTATTTGAACCAGCCTTTATATACATATATATATATATATATATATTGGTTTTACATATATATATATATATATTGGTTTTTTAATTAAGGATAATTACAATCAATTAAACGATAATTATTGATGATAAAAATAAGAGGCTTCTGATCTAGTTGTAAGAATCATAGAAATATAAAGGGTTTGTTGGTTTATATCTGTAAATTAGAAATTAACTTGTGGAAACCAAATTTGAAAGCAACATATTGACCGGAGTAAGCTGGTGATACAACACACATAATATCATCGATTAGTTGATGACTTGATTCGGCTCCTCTCTCTCTCTCTCTCTCTCTCTCTCTTTTGATCTCGAAACCCTAACACCAAATCCCTCTCTTTTGCCTCTACGTTCGATTCGACCTCAATCTCTGCGATCGCTCGTCGGCTTCTCACCCATTCCTTCGCTCGATTTCTTATAATCGCGACGTTGATTATTTTGAAACGGATCTTATCTGCTCGACCTTCCGATGGCCGAAGGCAAGCTTGCTCTTCCCGATGATCTTCTCTCCTCCAAACCCTCTGATCAGTCTTCGACCCCTAAAGGTAGTCTCTAATCGTCCCAACCCTATTTTTTGCCTTTCTGTTTTTGGTGTAATTTTGTTGGTTCATGTTAGGTTAGGGTTTATTGATCTGTATGTATCTGAGTATGCTATGCTACTTCACATTCGACATATTCGTCATGAATTGGAAAACTGTTAGGCTTTTGTTGTGTTTCGATTACTTCTAACATTAGGTCACATTGATTTCTGCTATATGTACATTGGTGTTTATATATGTTGGCAGTGAAAACAATTTGTTAATTTTCGTGGATTTATAGTATTCCTTTTGTTAGATAGACGGTCAAGTAAGTAGTAAGTGCAAGCATATATGCGTTATCAGGTGGGAGTTGACTTTCACCTCTAGGATTTAAGCTGTATTAATGAACAAATTGTTGTTAATTGAAGAAAAGTGAACTACTCTAGAAAGTGATGAATTCGTTATTTCCTCCCTAGTTAAGCAATTTATATGTAATTCGAAAGGGTACCCACAGTTCTTTTTGCTTTTCCCTTGCAGCCTCGCTATAAAAGTAACATGAGAAGCTTTTTGTTCTTTTACCTCGATGCTGTTGTCCTACTCTTAGATTTACATTTTGACTGCGTCCAGCCATCCACCATGCAGTGCTTCACTATCAATTAGTTTTGACTTTTGAGGTGAAACACGGTGCTATTAGCTATATTGGTGCTCTTAGCTGCCTTATAGCTATAGTTATTTACCTTGTAATGTGGAGGCGTTGCAATGTAACATAAGATTTTGTAGCGTCAATGTGTCATTGAAGATAGAAAATCCCGATTTATTTAATCGGGCATTTATGTTGAATTTATGATGTGAATATGTATGAAGAGATGCAATGATTTAATTTTTTGAAATACAGTTTATTGTACCACAATAGTCATTATATGCATCCATGTGGTTTAAAAAGGTTTGTGACTCATGTTTGATGACACAAGTTTTTCTACTTCTCTAACTGTGGTTTAAAAAGGTTTGTGACTCGTGTTTATGCAGCTTTGCAGTTTCTTTTAGTTTGTGTTTGTTTACTTGATCACTCTTCTGCTTGTCATTTCCTAACACTTAATGGTTTTATGACAGTGGAAGCTCCTGGAGGCAATGGTAAGGTTAAAATGATGAGTTTGCTAGAGGATTCCAAAGGTAGATGTATCTTTCACGTGTAGTTCAATGATTCTCCTATTATTATTGTCTTTGTTCATTTTGTTGACTTCTATGATTGTTGCTGTTGGCTAGTTGCAGCTGAAGATCAAGCAGCTTTGGACAGCAGCATACCTTTGTCTCCTCAGTGGCTTTATGCTAAACCAAGTGAGAGTAAGATGGTGGGTGTTTAGGCAATGCAAATATAGGCATGTTTTTAATGAATGTGTAATGTGCTGTTTATCATTAGGAGGAATAATTTGTTGGAATTTAACCCACTTTAGTGAAATGACAACACCATTGAATGTAAATGTGTTGGTGCTATTATTGACCTTCAACTTCTTGTTTCTTCTCTTCCTTATGCATGCATGGATGAATTTGGTTCATCTTTGTGGCATGCCCTTCTAGGAGAGAGGGACTAATATGTGGCGTGAAAATGCAAATATTCAGTCTCTCAGTTTCTTCACATAGTTCCTTTTTTGTGTGTTATTAGCCAGCTATTTCATCATCATCATTGGTTAAATTGCATAAAACCCTATCAGTATTCATACCTAATGTTCATGTTTCCACATGTCAAGTAAGAAAATAAATTATGCATTTCAAGCATATTCTGCTTTGAGAATATAAAATCATTTGACCATACACTCTTATCCTAAAAGCTCCTCTCTCTTGAAATGCTGACAGGACATACGTGCACCAAGTTCTCTTTCTGTTGGGAGTTCTGCTGATTTAAACTCAAAGGAGGTTTGGCGTTCAGATGGACTGGATGACAAGAAAGATTGGAGGAAAGTCGCAAGTGAAACAGAGAGTGGCCGCCGTTGGCGTGAAGAAGAAAGAGAAACAGGCTTACTTGGTAGAAGAGAGCGCAGAAAAACTGATCGTCGTGTTGATGCTGGTAGAGAAACCACTGACAGTAGAGCTCCACCTCCTTCTGATAAGTGGCATGATGCTGGTAACCGCAATTCGGGACACGAGGCCCGGCGTGATAGCAAGTGGTCTTCTAGGTGGGGTCCGGATGAGAAAGAAAAGGAAGCTCGAACTGAAAAGAGGCCCGGCGCAGAGAAGGAAGATGCCCATAATGATACTCAAGCACATGCAAGTAGTACTAAATTACTTCCTGAACGTGATCCAGATTCCCGTGATAAATGGAGGCCACGCCACAGATTTGAGGCAAATCCTAGCGCACCAGGTTCCTTTCGTGCTGCACCCGGATTTGGTCTCGAGAGAGGACGCATTGACGGTTCAAACATGGGTTTTGCCATTGGACGTGGCAGAGCTAGTGGAACAATTGGAAGACCTTCATCTACAGGTTCGATTGAGAGGAACATAACTGTCAGTGGCACGCCAGGTGTTTTTGCTGATGTGTTCTTCTATCCAAGGGGCAAGCTTCTTGATGTATATCGTATACTGAGGCCTGATCCCTCTTTTGCTAGCATGCCTGAAAAGATCGAGGATGTACCTTCTGTAACAGTAATGACTGCAATAGAACCCCTTGCTTTTGTTGCTCCTGATGCTGAAGAAGAGGTATGCTTCGATGCACTTATGCTAGGTTAAATGTGGACATTTTTAATGAGCTTGTATGTTGATGAATATTACATGTCTTTTCACAGGCTATTCTCGGGGATATATGGAAGGGGAAAATCACCAGTAGTGAGGTGTCTTACAATTCATTTAGAAAAGTCAAGTCTGAAAATAGTGCAGGTACTGAAGTTAATGGCTACACAGATGCCCTTTTCTTATCCCATCAATCCTTCCTGCTTTTAAGGGGGTTTATCTGTATCTAAAATGTTTGAGATTATATGTATTTAGATGTCGATGGTCTTGGATCTACCAATGGAAAAGATGATGCTCTTTCAGTGGAGGAGAAAACTGATTCAAACAAGGATATTCATCAAACAGATGCTTATGGCAGTCTGCACTATGATGGTCCTGAGATGGAATTGGTGGAGGGTTAGTAACAAATCCACTCTAATCCATAAAGATAATGGTTATTAGTAATCAAATATGAACTAAATTGTGTATTACTTCTTAGGGCGAGATGGTAGTTGGCATGGAGAAGAAAGGATCTGTGAGGATGTTACAGATTCGGCTTCTGCAAGGCACCAGCTGTTTGAAGATGCCCAGTTATCTTCAACATGTGACACCAGTACCAAACATCCTAATGATTCACCCTCTCTCTTTGTTACACCCTCGTCTGAGCTACATTGGACAGGAAATATGCAGCCGTTGGAAAGTAATATGGATGGATCTTCAACCATGGACATCCATCCGGAGGACTTAAGTCTTTTTTATCGTGACCCTCAAGGGGAGGTCCAAGGACCATTTCTTGGCGTTGACCTCATTTCCTGGTTTGAGCAAGGATTTTTTGGGGCAGATTTACCAGTTCGTGTGGCAGATGCTCCGGAGGAAACTCCTTTCCAGGAATTAGGCGAAGTTATGCCGCACTTGAAAGGTAGACATGACTATGCAACCAGCAATGGTCCAAGTCCCAACATGGAACAGTCTGGTTCTTTTGAGGGGAACATGGATGCCGGTGTTAGTATGCCTGCTGATTCTGAAATGGTGTTTTCGACTTCATCACGTGATCCCCAAAGGCAATTATCTGGGTTTAATGGTTTATCAGTAAAGCATGATCAACCAAGAATGTTTGAGCCAGAAGGCCCTTCTCAACTTCCATATTTAGAGGGTCATGCCTTCCGTGGAGAAGGTTAAATGCTTCATCCATCTGTATTTCTAAATTATCTGTCTATTTCAGTCATGTGCTAATGTTCTTTTCTATTTTCTTATTTTCTTTCTGCAGAAATTGTTTTCCCTGGAGGACCTGGTAGCACTGGTGATCATATGGGGAACACTTCAAGGGGTGCTGGTGATTCTTCTGCAAATTTTCTGAATAACCGCACTGTTCCAACTGACTTGTCTGAACCTGGCTTATTGAATCCTAAAGATAGTAAATTTCATCCTTTTGGGTTGTTATGGTCTGAGCTTGAAGGATCAAGTTTAAGGAATGATCAGCCATCTAATATACCCATCACTGGTGGCATTCAGCAACAACTTATGAACCCTGTAGGTCGAAGGGATGCTGCATTTAATGCAATGCATGAATCTACTCATGCTGCTGATACGTGGCCTGATGTTTACAGAAGGAATGCACTTTCTGAAACGAACTTGTACCAAGATCCAATTGATGCTCGTCAGTTGTCACATATTGATCAAGGAGCCAATCACTTTGATTTGGCAGAGAAACTTAGGTCTCAAAAAATTCAACAGCAGCTGCTCCAACAGCACAATCTGCTGTCTACACACTCCCGTTTGAACGAATCAATGCTGGATCAAGTTCCAAGTCGAAATACCATAAACCCACAGCAGTTAGCAGGTCAAACTGGGCAAGATCTGGACCACTTTTTGGCACTTCAGTTGCGACAGCAGCAGCAGCAGCAGCAGCGGCAGATTCAGCTTCAACAGCTTCAAATGCAGCCACAGCGGTTCCATCAACAGAAAATGCTACTGAAGGAGCAGCAATCTCGTCAGCTGCTTCTTGAGCAATTGGTACAAAACCAGATGCATGATGGCCTTGGACAATCATTTGCTGATGCTGGAGGACACAGTAGTGCAATCGATCAGATTCTTCTGAAGCACCAGATTTTGAATGAACTACAACAGCATTCGCTGCATCAGCCCAGTCATGTGGACCCATCAATAGAACACCTGCTTCAAGCAAAATATGGTCAACCACTCCATCAAGGGCATCCGAATGATCTCTTGGAGCTAGTAGCACGTGCAAAACATGGACATATGCCATCTTTAGAACAACAGATACTTCAGCATGATCAGTTTAATGGGAGACAGCTACCTATGGGGTTGAGGCAGAGGGTTGAAATGGAGGAAGAGAGGCAGCTTGGTTCTGGATGGCCTGTAGATGAAAGTGGCCAGTTTCTCAGAAACGCTGGTAGTCATCACCGAGCTAATTCTGTTGGAACTGGTCTTTTAGATTTCTATCAGGAACAGCAAAGACCATCGCCTGAGGAATTGAGTCATCTTGAACGGAATCTATCAATACAAGACCGACTTCAGCGTGGTCTTTATGGCTCTAACCTTCCATTTGAACACTCGTTATCTATGCCCGGTGGTCGTCAAGGAACGAACCTTGATGTTCTAAATTCTATAGCTCGGGCTCAAAGTTTAGATACACAGGAGCCGAATGCTCGCTTGCACCATGCTGAGCAAGTAGGCGGGTTTTCTCCAGGTGTCTTCCCTCATCAATCTCATCATCCTTTGGGCTCTAATCACTTGCATCCCTCAAATTCCAATGAGATGGAGGGAGCGTGGTCTGGAAGTAATGCGCAAATATCAAACGATTGGATGGAGTCAAAGATTCAGCAAATGCATATTAGTAACGGAAGGCAGAAAAGAGAGATGGAGCACAGGACTTCAGCCGATCCAAGTTTTTGGATGTCAGCTGAAAGCAGCAATGACACTTCAAAAAGGTTGCTTATGGATCTACTGCATCAGAAACCAGGCAATCAGTCTACTGAACAGTTGGATATAAATAGCCGGGTTCCTTTTGAGAGAAAGGCACCTTCTGTTCCTCATTCTAGGTCAAACACTTTGAATCATTCTTTTAACCTCTCTGATCAAGAAGTCAGGCTGACCCACCCATTCACTGTAGGATCTTATGACTCTAACTCAGGTGCACCACCACAGATGTCAGTTGGTTTGGAAGGCATCGATAGATTTCTTCTAAGATCTAATTCTGGAGCAATGCATGAAGGGAGTCCATTCTTCTCCGGTGTGAATGAATCCTCTCAGGCAGTTTATACAAACTCCAACATGGAACGAGACTTCTTGGACATGGAGGCAAAAAGGAAATTACTTAAAAGTGAAAGTAGTGTTGTTCAGAGTTCAGCTACAGAACGTGGAGATGTGATTCAACAGGGTGGTGTTATTGCTATTGATCGTGACAAAATGCCAATTAATGCTGTTGGCAGGCATGGCTCGCTTGGCAGTGCTGGTAGTTTTTAATCTGTTTTCTTGGTACCTTTATTTTTCCAGGCAGTATTCTATATGACATGGTTTCAGGTGACAATGCAGGGTTATACAACAAGGTTGGATCTTCTGATTCTATTGCAGGAGAGGCCAAAAATCGGTAAGATATTAAAACAATATTACCAATTACAATAGATTTGCTAGCCGGAGCAGCAAAATATTTCCTATAGGATTTGTTACTATGCTTGAAAGAGAAATGATAAGATCTTCTTGTAGTATCTTTGATATACATATGCCTATAAACATGGCATGCACATAGTGTGAATATATACATAAATGTACCTATGCATCCATACATATATCGGAAGGAATACATATTGGTGTCATCACTCACCTGCTAGAATAATGTTGGTGTAGATCTTTTTTTACTTCTTCTGGCATGTTCATGTAATGTTTGTTTCTTCTTTTTGATTCTCTCAAGTGCACAAGCAATTAACATGGTGTGATATGTTATTATGGTCTATCTGATTTGGATTTTAATTTATATACTAGTGTCTTGGAGACAAAAGGGTCATGTTGTTGCAAGATCCTTGTGTAGATGATATATTTTAGCTGATCTCGTGCTTTTGGATATACTTCTGTTTAGGTCCGGTTCTCTAAATGTTTCTCTACTTATTCTGTTTGAATCTATTAAAATTGGGTTAAATGGTTATATTATTAACACCATTAAATCTCAATCAAAGGGAAAGTGTCATTTTGATCTTGTTAGACATCTGAGCTATGTGATTGTGTATGGGTGTGAAGCTTCATTGTTAGATGCTCTAATCCTAGTTGACGTTTTTACGGAACGTGTTACAGACTTGGTTATGTGATTGTCATGTTCAGATGTTCTTCATCTTGTTTATGTGAATCTTTTGTATCTTCATTGGTTGTCTCTGTATAGTTCTTACTATTGTATATGACAATGAGCTTCTTGCTGCTTATGTGCAACTTTGGGTATATTTGATGCATGCAGTTATTTCTACTCTGATTAAATAATCAAACAATTATTATAACAACTGATTATATAGTCGATGGTGAGGTTTCTTGAGCATATTTAATAGTGTTGCTACTGAATTTCAACTTCTTTTTGCAGGCTGTCCACTAACTCGGAAAATATTCTACTGAAACGTCCACCAGTCTCACGAGTATCATCATCCCAGGAAGGGTTATCCGAGCTGGCATGTGATTCAACTGTCAGACAGAAAAATGTCCTCAGTATGCCTGCTACTGCTGCTGAAGGTATGTTCTTTAACTAATGTTTTAGCCTCATCATGCATCAACATAGGGACAGATTAGCAGCTTAATAAGCTTAATAGGATTCACAGCTTATTTGGTCAGCTGTATATGACTGTTTGGTAGTGGCTTAATGATATAGAAAGTGGCTTATTCAGTAAGCTTTTAGGAGGGAGCTTTATGTTGAAAGACAACCTGCCCCTCTCAATGAAAAAACCCTCCCAAACAAAAACCTTCCCAATCTATACAGACAGATTAAGCAACGCAGACAGCTTTGTTTTTTTTTTGGAAAAAGAAACAAACAGCTTTGTCCACACAGGACTTAACGGAAAGCCAACCAAACAGCCCCTTAATATGACTAGGATCTAGCAGTAGCAGAAATCTTGGTAAAAAATAGCGTCTGCTGTTTTGTGTTTGGGATTGTGAACCAATTAATCAGTATGGAAAGCATCTAGCAAGAGCATAAGTCTGGTCTATTTCACCTGACAGCTATATGGATGCCGTCAAAATTGATTTTCTTATCGGCTGAACATATTAAACCAAAGTCTTTTTGACTCTTGATTCAGGTGGAAAACGGGAGGCAAGTGGAAACACATTCACCCAAGTCTCGGAAAACATGGCAAGTGGCAAGAAAGACACCCGTTTTAGGAGAGCATCATCCTGTAGCGACGCTGATGTCTCGGAGACGGCATCTTTCAGTGACATGCTTAAAAGCAATGGGAAGAAGGGGGTGCCATTGCCAGAGAGTAACACAATAGCTTCTGCTTCATTGGAGGGCGGAGATGGACAGGGGGGTAAAAGTGGGAAAAAGAAAGGGAAAAAAGGAAGGCAAATTGACCCGGCTCTTCTTGGGTTTAAGGTTACGAGCAACCGCATCATGATGGGTGAGATTCAACGTTTCGAAGACTAATGTTTTGTTTGTACAAAAATTTTGTGCATAGCTTTTGTTGATTTTTTTATTCATATTGTATTTAATTTTAAGGCTCCCATTTTGCATCCTGATTTGGCGATGTTGGGTTGGGGATGCATGAGGTAGCAATAGCATAGAGTTTGTACAGACAGATGTTTTGCTTTGAGATGGATCTAAATAAAGTTGGGTATGCATAGTGTCATTTTGATCTTGTTAGACATCTAAGCAAGTTGAGACATAATGGGTATGGGTTTATCCTTATTATCCTACCCTTCTTCCAGATCTTGATTTTGGTTCTATTTCATTGCTTAGCTTTCTGGGTGTTACTCCATCTTCTCAAATTTGAGATTTTTCTTCCCATTTCTTTTGTAATAAAAGTTTCCAACAATGTAAGATGAAGAATCAAAAAATAAGATATCTCTAAAAAGATATTATTAGAACATTTTTTAATTTTTTTGTTACTCTGTTCATTCCAAATTAAATGTATACGTTACTATTTTTATTTGTTCCAAAACAAGTATCCATTTTCAAAAAATAAATTTTCAATTTTTCATTTTACTCTTAATAATGAGATGAAATTTTTTTTTCTTTATTATTAAGAGTAAAAGTATCATTTAATTATTTAAAAAGTACAGTAATTCCAAATTTCTAAAACTATAACCAGAAAGAATTAAAAATACCTTTTAGAAAATTTTATCTCCCTTTTGATCCTTTTCTGTATTCTAGAGAACCATTTAGGAAATTTATTACAATACATGCTCTAATAAATTTCTTTTGCGAGCCAAGCAATAAACCCAATCTTCGGAAGGACTGATCTGTTATTTCTTGAAAAATAAGGGTCTCATAAGTAAATAGCATAAAATCCATCTCCATTTTTGTAAATTGAGAGGCGACTATACCAATGATATATTGACTCGTCATCTCCGTCATCCGTCTTCTCTCAGTCACCTAAAAAACCCTTTTGAAAGGTATATCTCTTCCAGGTTTATCCACAAAACCAATAAGCAATGGCTCTCTCCTTCACATCTCTGGTAGGCTCCGAATCTGCATTCTACGCTACTTTTTATGTGTTTATGGTGCTTTGATTTGCTTCAACTTGTTCTTTCAGTCAAACATTGGCTCGCTCTCAGCTCAACGAAGTTTATCGTCGGTGAAAACCGCGAATACTTCGTGCTTAAGTTCTCAGAAGCTTGGTAAATCTACGTTGTTAGCATCATCGAGCTTTCTATCTGGCTCGCTGCGGCTGTCGTCTTCACCGAACCTCTCTTTTCAGAGAAAATCCGGAGGTTTATCTTGCTCTGTTAGAGCTAGCGCTGAGGTATATGAAACCGCTTTTAGGCATTTGGAGTTTTTTACTGATATTAATCCTATCTGCGACAGTTTTTTAGTACATTAAGGACTGGTTACAGCATCGGTATGTCTATTATTTCAACTCGGATCTATCCGGAAATGTTAAAACTAAATATGTATAGTCGGAAATGTGAACCGCCTATGTTGAACGATATCGAAATATTTACAGGTACTTGATAGTTATAGGTAGTGATTTGCAGATTTGAAATTCATGAACATTGAGAATAAAATCCGAGTTGAGTTGGTGGAACACACACAGGCTATTGCTTCTTTGTATATTGGTATATGGCGCCTAGGGAGCTTTGACTATGTAATTTTTTTCGGATCTGAGGATTACTGAGATTTATATTTGCTAATATTCGTATTTCTTCCACAAGGTCGCTACACAGGCAAAAGTAACCAACAAAGTATTTTTTGAGATAAGCATTGGGAATCCAGTGGGAAGTTCTGTAGGAAGAATTGTGATTGGACTCTTCGGTGATGATGTGCCCCAAACGGCTGAAAATTTCCGTGCTCTGTGCACAGGTTAATGTTACAATGATATATTTTGTTGATTGATTTTCTGTACTGTTGCTCGACATTTGGAGTGAATTTTTTGGTAATTTGGCCTTCACTCTTTTCAGGAGAGAAAGGTTTTGGTTACAAGGGTTCTGCATTTCATCGTGTCATCAAGGATTTCATGATTCAAGGAGGGGATTTTGACAAGGGAAATGTAGGTTTTGCTTTTCCTTTCTTATATTTTTTCCATCTTTCAGTGTAAAATCTGTGATTAGATGATCATTTTAGATGCATAAAACTATGATGTTATTTCATGCTCTGCTCATGCCATTGGTTTCTTCCCCAAAAGATGCAAAGTCTGGGAGTGTTGTTTGAGTTAGAAGCAATTATTAATTACGCTAGCTGGAATGTCCCAATTTATATATCGTCCATGCATTTTAAGCATAATATATACATACGTTATGTTCAAGTGTATTTGTCAAATGATCCTTTATACAATTTTCTTTTGGGAATTAGAATGGTATCCACGTGAATGATTGTTCCACACTTTCCCAGAACTTGTTATCCAATACAGTGATGTTTACTACATGGTCATGAGTCTCATGACATGTTCCTATGCCACAAGCTTCTTTGGCTTCTCTACAAGCCTGGGATTTGGCTTTGTAATGTAAGACTGTTTTGCTATGGCCTTTTAAAATCCTTATCTTTCTGTCTTCTCCTGTTATGGTAAAGGACTAATTGTTTTTCCCCACATGCTGAGGCAACCAGACATGATTATATAAGTTTCAGTTTCTTTTGTTGAGAAGCATCTTTGATCTATTTTTTTACTTCTCTTTGCACTTTGTATTTGTTTCCAAACTGTTATGTCTGTAATATTATCACTCTTGGACGGATTTTTTCATTTTGCACATGCATTTATTAGATGCAAGTCTGTATCCTATGAGACTATGTGAACCCCATTGTATTTATGTTATCCAAAAATCCCACGTAGAAGAATTCTGACTCATATCAACAGAATCTTCATGGATTTTGTTAGTTTTGATGATCATAAGGTTTTTATAAGTGAATGATGGATGATTTTTTTGGGTTTGGGTAAGATTACGCTGTTCTGTTGTGTCATTCCCAGATTTCCCCATGGGTCTAGCGAGTGATCCATTAGATATTGCTTGTATTATGTAATTTGTCTCAGGTTCTCAGAGGGTGCAAGGGTGGTCTTTGCGGAAATTTGCAGCATCCTTCAAAACTAATAAACTAGCTGTTTCTTTTATTATCATTAACAAGATATACTATTTTTATAACTAAAAGTTATAGTTATCCAGGGTTGTGGATGATTAGTGCTCGTATTAGGGGCATTATAGACGTATGGATGTGTTAAAAGTTTCACGCATTTACAAGGACCATGTTTTTATGGTACGAGTAAACTTTGCGCGAGAATTACAATTTTGGTTTCTGCCCTGTTGCTACTTGATTTTGTTGGGACGTTTCATGCTCCAATTATGCTGCAGAACTTGTAATGATCTCTCTGTTAAGGCATGTCAAGTAATTTTTCTGCTTTTCTTTTATATTTTCCAGGGCACTGGTGGCAAGAGCATATATGGCCGGACATTTAAGGACGAGAACTTCAAATGTGAGTTAGCCAATCCTTTATAAAGGGATCCTATTATCCACTGGAGACAACTAACAGAATCTGTTAGGGAGCAAATAAACTGAACTTATATTCCATGATTTCCATCCACAGTTAATTCTATGTTGACACATTGCAATATATTTTAAAACATTGCAGTAACTCATACTGGACCAGGAACTGTTAGCATGGCAAATGCAGGACCCAATACTAATGGAAGTCAATTCTTCATATGCACTGTCAAGGTATGCTTCTTTTGGTTATTCAATACTCCCTCCATCCCAAAATAGGTCTCCACATTTTTCTCATTTTGTCCCAAAATAGGTTTCCACCTTAAAAAATATACTTTCCCTTCTACTCTGAATTATGCCATGGAGAATTTTTTTTCTCTGTAATAATTACGCATTTCTAAAGCTGTGTGCATTTTCCATTATGTTCACTGTGGACGTTTATTTTGGGACGGAGGGAGTATTTGTTTGAGGTTTGTATTTCGTTGAACATTCCTTGATGTAATTTAAAAAGCAATAAGTACTTGTTCCAGAAAAAGGGGATGTATAATTAACCTTGCTTTTATATCTGAAAACTTAGTTGGTGTTATTGAGAAACAGGCGGAGCTGAACGCCTGAACCTATAATCTCTGTTTTAGCTTTATCAAATCATCACTTAGTGATCCAATCAATAGATCAATGACCTTTTATTTGAACGCCGGAAGCTTATCAGAATTCTCTTTAACAGAATCTTGTTCTTATGTTTTTGTTTTGTGGTCGGCAGACACCATGGTTGGATGAGAGACACGTTGTGTTCGGTCAAGTTATCGAGGGCATGGAAATAGTTAAGCAGATCGAGGCACAACAGACGGATAGAGGCGATCGCCCACTAAAGCGAGTTGTTATCAGCGATTGTGGTGAACTTCCACTTGTCTGAAGAGGAGTTTGCGAGTGTACCGGTTATTGTAGCTTGCTTTTACAGGCAGATATGAAGAGATTGTTCGACAATGAGGCTCTTTCCCTTTGATATCATCTACTAAACTTGTATTCTCTATGAAATTGGCTCGGAAAATACCCGCACATTCATAAACCTGTTTCATCGAAATAACCAAGTAACCCTTTTTCAATTTCAGTGTTGCTATGTGCATTGCCTTGGTGACCAACTTATGCAGTTATTTTCTGCCTCCTTCGTATGACCAAATCCGGAGTAAGCGACCGGTTTAAATGGTCTTTAAGTGGTGAATTAGAAGTATTTTTCGGGAAAACAAATAGCACCCAACGAGTCTATTAGCGTCCTTGGGCTGTTTACCAAATGCTTATCGAGTTACGTTTACTTGTCTTATTGTTGGTATGTATTTTTTGCTTGATAATTGTTTACTAGATTAGGTCTTTGTCATGCTTACCAGGTAACTAATGTCTGGTAAATAAATATTTTGTATACCACCCCTTGGTTTATAAAATTGGAAAATAAGTTTATAAATTGTAATCAATCTTGTGATACATTTTCAAGATTTTTGTTGAATGTTTACACGTCTATCGAGTAATATATGGTGCAGGATTTCTATTCATGTGACTTCATCGTCTTCACGGGCCTGCCACAGCATGGCAGCTGTAGCCAGCCACATAAAGTCTTGACTACGTCCCCATCGTTCAGGGTGCTGCCACCACTTTTTACAGTGGCCGAAAGCGACGGATCATGGTGGTTATCTCCTGCCCCCACCTAACATTCTTCACATGTGAATGCGATGCATAATTCAACTAAAAATACTAAATAAACCCTTTCTGTCTTGATGATAATTACTTTAATAAACATATTAGATTTTGTTACCATATTATATATACCATCATTCTTTTTGTTTTAAGCTACTTCAGAATAAGAACTGATTAATCCCAAATTATACAGAAACTTCTCTGATCTCGATCGAAACAGATGACTTAAAGAAAACCTCCCTGTCTGCTGCAAATTCGGCTTCGGATTCGGCTTCACTGTATCGTCTTCCTTCATGTTAATCATGCTTTCACCCATCGCGGTTCTAATCGCTTCGATTGTTTCACTTTTAACGTGATCCCCAGATGAATCCATCACGTAGAACGTGTTTACGACCTTTGATCCTCTTGTTGTCACCTCTGCCCTCGTCACCGAAAGCCCGTTCTCTCTAAAGATTCGAGTCACATCCGATAAAAGTCCTGTCCTGTCTTCACCGCATAGCTCTAGCCTTAACCCCTGTGTATCGTAACCAAAACCCATGTATTTCCATCTTGATTTTGGATCGAAAATTACTAGCTTTCGCTTTCAAATCACAAACACGGATTTACCTCTGAAGTCCGTCTCTTGATCGCTGCCTCCAGGCAATCAATCACACGTTGCCTCTCGGCTTCCGAACTAATTGGGCATCCATCCGTATGCCGGATGTAGAATTCCTTAAATGAAACATAATTAGAATTAGAAAATGAGATCTTAGAATTAGAAAATGAGATCCCATGCTCAGAACGAGTTGGGTTCCGGTGAGAACAACCCATTTTTGTGAGAATGTGTGAAAAGGTGAATATACCTTTATATCGTGTGAAGGTTTGTTTTTATTCATTTTTTCACGTTCTCGTGAAAATGAAAATTTCTTACAGCTTACCTAACAATCATATGAAAAACACGAAAACGTTTCAAAGAATACCTGAGAAGCCTCGGATCCTTCCACAACGATGGTGGCATGAAAGACAACATATTGCATATCGGTAAGTGTACAAACGGTATCAAATAGTAGTTTAGGCCGATCAGGACACCTCAAATTGACGACGGTATACCCTTTCTCAGAGCAGTTTTCCACCGTCACAAGTCGTTTTACGCCACAAGAGCTCTCAGCTCGATCATATTCTCCCGTTAGTTCTTTATCGTAATCCCGATCTGCATACATCAACTGGTGCAGCCTTCTTTGCGTATGAGTAGACCCCACGGAAACCGTGGTTTGGGCACCTCGCCGATCTCTATCTCCTTTTAGAATGAAAACGAGCAGCTGTTTGATCTTAGCGAGTCGGTCGACATCTTCAATCGGAGATCCGCTCTGTTCATCGACAATGTAAACAATTGAAGCCATCCTTGAATTATGTGTCCAGATTTCTGCAGCTACAACATTGCATTTGAGGTCGGAAAGAACCGCAAAGACCTCAGAAAGCAAGCCGGGCCGGTCACGCCCGGTTAACTCAATGGTGGTGTGTTCATTAGCCGATTGGAACCCGACCGAACCCCTCAAGCTTCTGAAGCTGCACCCTCTTGGTCCAAGCGACTGCAACACAACAAACATGTCCACAACGAAAAAGACAGTTTTAGAAAAATATTAATATTACACTTTTTAATCAATTAAATGACAAAATACCCTTAATAATAAAGGACACAATTTATTCCTCCATCAAATAGTTAAAAGGTAAAATCCGAAGATGGAGACTTGCTTTAAATATAAAACAATTATTTTGAGACAAACTAAAATAGAAATCGAGTAGGCTAAATGCACTTCTACCTTCACCTATGAATTTTTTTCCTCGCACACATCAATCTCGACTTTTACATTCACAATGCATAAATCGACTGACAGATATTTTGGACCAACAAAGTACTAGAAAACAACCTAAGAAAAGGACCAAACATCTTTTTGAGGTAGAGTCAACAAGTAGGTTTCCTTCATTTTGATTGACCAAAAGTCCTTAAGTTATACTTGTCATTAACATTTTTTTTATACGTAATTATGGGTATCTGAACCAGATTACATAAACCTTGTAGACGAGTTTGGTTAAATTTGTCACGAAGATACCCGTTACTCCAAGACCCATTCTTTCTAGATTCTCAAAACGGGAACACGATAAAACTTTACGCTCTTAGATACAAAAGACATAAGATAAGGTGGTCAACAATTCCTAGCCACACGCATAGATAGGATACACAAGTGACATTCGGCCCGAATGAAATCTTTACTACCACATATGATAATGCGTTGAACCCTTGAAACAATCCACGCAACGGATCAACTAAAGAGCATGATGGGTGTCTTGAACTACAAAGAAAGATTCAAGGGAATCCGGTGAATCTGTACCTGCTGAATCCGATCAGCGACATTATCCTCTGAGAGCTTATTTCCATATTGATCAGTGACATGAAATACTGCAACAAAGATGATATTTTTAGCCACAAATCGATTAAAATCATCGAAATTGATACAAATTAAGGTGTTTTAAGTTGCATCCATTACCATCCATGAACCATCCTCCATCTGAAGAAATGTAAGCTCGTTTAATTAGTAAATTCAGATCGGTTAGAACTTGAACCACTTCTAACAAGCTCCCTCTCTTGTTCGCACTGTCGACCTACAAAAAGAATTCGAAACAATTCACATGAATTCGAGACACCAACATTGGATATATGAATTCAGTTTAGCACATTTTAATGATAATTAAATAGAGAAAAAGAGGTTGAAATTATGGTAATTATACCTTAATCAAAGTCACATTTCTGTCTGTGATGTTATCAACAGTAACCCTACAAAAAGATATATAGAAATCATCAAGAAACACAGAGAGAACAGAGTTACAAAATTCTTGAAATCCATCGATTTCAGTCGATAATTCTTCAGCAGTTAAGAATCACCCAATTCAATTATCTTATTAACTTGAATCAAAACAGAAGAGTCATGAAAACTAGAAGCAATTCTACAGATTCTAATCATTTCGATTTCCATCCACATAATGCAAAAGAAGATAAGAAAAGAAAATGAAACGAGTTGCTAACTCGTTCAAATTCACATTCTGATTCCCCATAAATCATCTATCCAAGTTAATCGCGAAGAACAGATAAACCCTAAATCCAATTGAAGAAGGGAATAAGTGAATTTAACCTGGGTGGATGCATACGATTGACAAGCTTGGCAAATTCTAGATCAACATTTAACGAAGGAGACCAGCAATCCATTGAACTTGTAATTGTAAATGAAACAACGAAAGTTACGGACAGAATTAGAAGAAGAAGAAGAGAGAGATTGATTGGGTAAATATTGAAGGGTTTTGATTGTGGGTTTCAAGTAGATGATACGTATGAGATTCTAGAGAAAGAAAGGGAGCAGTAATGGGTGTGGGTGGGTGGGTGTGTATGATTATGGTGTATTGAGTTCGAATTGAAGAGCTTTTTACTTGGAGGGAGATACAAGAGAGAAGAACAGGCGGAGGAGGACGGCGGAGGTCTCCGTCGGCCACTGCCACTGCCTCTGCTTTTTGTCTCTGACCCCTTCGCCAAATAACAACTTCTATAAAAATGAAGATCTTCTTGGGGTTTACTGCAACCATTATCGTAATAAATGCTTTTTATATAATTTATTATTAAAAAACGTGGTTTTTAATTATTTTTTGTTAAAATAAGGAAAAAGACCGTCAAAAAGTCAACCATTTATATACATTTAAATTTGGGGAGTGCTAATGGCACCCCTTAACAGGGGGTGTTGATTGTTTTGAAAATTGTGCCAATCATTTTTCGTCATAAACATCAAATCAATTAATTATATATTTATATTTTATTAATTTTGTTTTATTTTATATATTTATATTAAAAATATATATATTATTTTATGTTACTTTATTATTTTATAATTTTGATTTTATATATTACAGTTTATTATATT